TGAAGACATCGTAGAATGTTTCGCTGTAGCATCAGCGTCCAATCGATACACAGACGACCTTCAGACCCATGACATAATTAGGCTGACGTTAGAAAATCATTGAGAAAAAGTCTTTTTCTCTCGTTTAAATTCAGGATGGATAGAAATGGGGAATTGTTTCTTTTGGTATCGATTACGTGTCACTACCGGAGACAGGAGAAGTGGAGATGCTGGTGGAGCGGAGCTTTCAGATGATCCCAGCGGAATCAGCCGTATTCAACGTATCCTGGTTTATTTTGGTACAAATCAATCCTTCACATTTTGTTGAAAATCGGATTTTTGTGGTAATGAGGTACTTTAGGATTGAATAACCCGAGGCATATTTGATGTCGAAAATGTCCCTAGCTTCAAAAAGCTGCAATCAATGAGATAGAATCGAATTTAACTTTCAATTTATTATCATAACATTCAGAAAATAATTATTAAGTGCACTGCCAAATTCGCCGTAATTGCGATTTGGGTACCATTACGAGTTACATGATAACAGTTGCCAGTACACGGACAAAATTCCCAGCGGGCTGGCCATAATTAGCATACCGTCCAACCATGATTGTCTATCATTTGCAATATCACTAGTTTCAACTGAAATTTATCAGTTTTAAAGTTGGACATAGTCCATGAAGTCGTTGGAAATTATCGGATCAGAGAGGTCTGGTACTCTAGCCATCTAGTTGGAAATTCTTTTGATATCGATTACATGTCATCGTTGGATAAAAGGTAGCTGTAATACTAGTGGGAAAGAGCTTTCAGACAATCCCAAAGGCTTTGAAACGTATCCCATTTTCTATCAATTTTTTTATCCAATTTGTCTTGGATTACGTGTATTTTTCGTCGCTCGTGGGTGGGTTCATTGTCATCATTAGGATTTCCAATTCGTTTGGGGATTATGTCTTGATGTTGTCAAAATGTTTTCATGAAAACATTTTGACAAGACACTCTTTGCTTGTACTAACAAAAATGGCATAATTTTAACGACGATAAAGCAACTTTTCATAGTAAGAAAAAATGTTGTTGAATAGAAAGGTGTTTCTCCTTCCGATTTCATATTCTTCCGAATCGTTCCCTAACCGTCTCAGACTTCATGATTACCAACGTGCAAGTACCTGAATCCGACACAGACTCACTCCAAAAACATATATTCCTCCTCCCGCTGCATTTTGGACAGAATCTCTCTTTCGATTCCCCTGAAACTTGATTCCCACCGACATCACTCCAACTGTGTCAGGAGTCCTCGGTACGTCATTTCACGGATCAGCTCCAGATTCAGACACAGAACCCTTTGATACCCCAGGAGACAATTCCCCCAACCATCCAAATCCAGCATCAAATCGATCAATTTTACCGGATCAAGATGCATTCAGACACCTTGGGACGTGTCTTACCGGTGTCTCAGTTGTCTCAGCTACAGAAGTGCTTCAGGCTAACTCAGATGGTCTCTTGGCTCACCCTTCCCCTCTTCTCTTCATCCAACGTTACGACGCGCGTCGTTACGACCCGTATCGATCCCTGGCAGTGCGTCTGGCTACAACCACTCCATCCCCTCGAACCCCTAGACTAGACTACCCTCTCATTTCAACCTTCCAACGCTGGCTTTTTTTCATTGCTTTTTTCGCAGAGTCTCCTCTACTTTCCTCTTTGGGGTTCATTCTTGGTTTACCTCATTGATGCGGCAGGGGGTGGGGGGAGGG